ACCATTTTTGTTACCCGTCTCTGGATTCGTTCTATCTTATCAATATCTTTTTGTAGGTGAGATCTCCAGAACTGGACACAGTATTCTAAATGAGGTCCAACTAAAGATCTATATAGAGGAATAGGGACCTCCTTCCTCCTGCCGGTGATAGTGATATAAAGATCTATATAGAAGAATAGGGACCTCCTTCCTCCTGCCGGTGACCCCTCAAGTGATATAAAGATTTATATTGGGGAATCAGGACCTCCTACCTGCTGCTGGTGACCCCTTTAGTGAGATAAAGATCTATATAGAGGAATCAGGACCTCCTTCCTCCTGCCGGTGACCCCTCTAGTGATAGGATCTATATAGAGGAATCAGGACCTCCTTCCTCCTGCTGGTGACCCTTCTAGTGATATAAAGATCTATATAGAGGAATCAGGACCTCCTTCCTCCTGCTGGTGACCCCTCTAGTGATATAAAGATCTATATAGAGGAATCGGGACCTCCTTCCTCCTGCCGGTGACCCCTCTAGTGATAGGATCTATTTAGAGGAATCAGGACCTCCATCCTCCTGCCGGTGACCCCCTTCTAGTGATATTAAGATCTATATAGAGGAATCAGGACCTCCTGTTGGTGACCCCTCTAGTGATATACAGATCTGTATAGAGCACGGGTGTCAATCTGGCAGCCCTCCAGCTGTTGCCAAACTACAAGTATGAGGCATTGCAAGACTGACAGTTACAAGCATGGCTCCCAAAGGCAGAGGCATGATGGGACTTGTAGTTCACCAACAGCTGGAGGGACAGAGATGCCACCCCTGATATAGAGGAATCAGGACCTCCTTCCTCCTGATGTCTAGTGATATAAAGATCTATATAGAGGAATCCCCTCCTTCCTCCTGATGGTGATCCCTCTAGTGATATAAAGATCTATATAGAGGAATCAGGACCTCCTTCCTCCTGATGGTGACCCCTCTAGTGATATAAAGATCTATATAGAGGAATCGGAGGACCTCCTTCCTCCTGATGGTGACCCCTCTAGTGATATAAAGATCTATATATAGAGGAATCAGGACCTCCTTCCTCCTGCTGGTGACCCCTCTAGTGATACATCCTAGAATTCTATTCACTTTTCCCCCCTTGCCTGGTCACACTGTTTGCTCATTTTGCAATCATCTGAAATAAGTACCCAAAGTCCTTTTCCCGTGTAGTTCTGGCTAATGCTGTACCCCGAATGTTGTACTCTCTCAAGGGCTTCTTTTTTTCCTAGGTGCATTATTTTTACATTTAGAAACATTGAACTGCAATTTCCACTTTTTTTACCAAACTTCCAGCAATGCCAAATCATGTTCCATGTTACAAACACCTCCAGGGATATCAACCCTATCACACACCTTTGTGTCATCAGCCTTGTGGTACACCACTAGTGACTGGTCTCTGGTCCGAGTGAACCCCATATACAACCACACTCTGGTATCTATCATTTAGCCAGCTGCATATCCAATGAACCCCCCAAGGGCTCAGTCCTAGCTTGTACAACTTTTGAATTAGATCACTATGTGGAACTGTATCAAATGCCTTGCTGAAATCAAGATATGCCATGTCCACAGCACCACCCTTGTCCAAAATATTGGTAATATAGTCAAAAAATCCAATCAGATTAGTCTGACATGACCTTCCCTCAGTAAAGCCATGCTGCTTTGGATCCAGCAAGTTGTATGTTTTTAAGTGATCAATGATCCTTCTTTTCGGGAGTGATTCCATTAACTTGACTACAACCGATGTTAAACTCACTGGCCTGTAATTGCCGGCATCTACCTTGCTGCCCCAATTGTGGATCGGTACAATATTAGCTGTCCGCCAGTCATGGGGAACTTCTCCTGTTAGAAGAGATTGGTTAAAAAGATCAGGTAATGGTCCAACAACTAGACCTCGAAGTTCTCTTAGAACTCTGGGATGAAGACCATCAGGGCCCGTTGCTTTATTGATCGTTAACCGAGCCATGGGTGAACTAAAAGTCCCCCATATAGTCAATTTTTTTACTGACAGGTTTTCTTTAATCAGCTGTCCTGCATTGAAGCTAATGGCATGCAGATCATGCTCCATTAGCTTCTTCCCCCACTGTACTGGATGAGGAAAGTGACACCAGGACCTGGACAAAGTAACTCCAGTAAGCATGTGTGGGAGTTGAGTCAACCAAGCCTAGCCAACCAATCAAGATGGCTAAAGACTCTTAAAGCTGACCTTCACAGCCCAGATCAATTAAGGCTCTGCACTGCTGCTACCCTCCAAATTTGAACTAGCACTTTATTTGGCTCTTTAGTTTGTTTGTTTAACTTTAGGCCTGGCCATCGCCTTGCCCACCTATCACTATTCTCGCCTAGGCTTCAATTTTATTATCCAACAGATATGCCATCGAACTAGTAGGCGAGAATGACGTGTCCCTGCCACTTCAGACTCCTGGGACTCTACGTCACATAACCCTATTTTTTATAACCCTTCAATTTAACCCCTTGGTGCCAGCGGCTCCCGGCCCTTTAAGGGTTTCAGAAGCGGGGGGGGTTTAGCGTCATGTGACCGCCGTGATTCGCTGTCACAGCGGTCACACGATCGGGAAAGGTCCAGATCGCAACCTTTTCCGTGAGTACCGGACACGTGCGCTGGGAGTGCGCAGGGCGCGTGCTCTCAGCACATATGTTTTCCTTAATTGCACGCAAATGTGCGGCCGCTCAGCGTCAAGGCCCAGACGCCGGGAGGCTGCACATTTGCGTGTGGCCGGCGCCGAGAGGTTAATTTTCTGATCGATGTGCGTTTGAATTGGTACACAATCGAATAATCATAAACTCACTTTGAGTTGAGAGTTCTTTTTTATTAGATTCGATCAAACAGTCAATCGTCCAGGACAAAAAAACATTCATTGTTTTGAAGCATTGAGATGCTTTGGTTATAAATTCAATCATTCAGGTTATTGGATTGCATGGTGGAAACAGAGATGTGCTCGATAATTTAAGATTGTATACTTTATTGCCAAAAATATTGGTCGGCCGGCCTTTCCACATACATGAACTTTAATGGCCCCCCAGTCTTAGTCCGTAGGGTTCAATATTGAGTTGGCCCCGCCCTTTGCAGCTATAACAGCTTCAACTCTTCTGGGAAGGCCGTCCACAAGGTTTAGGAGTGTGTCTATGGGAAGGTTGGACCATTCTTCCAGAAGCACATTTGTCAGGTCAGGCACTGATGTTGGGGGAGGAGGCCTGGCCCGCAGTCTCCGCTCTAATTCATCCCAAAGGTGTTCTATGGGGTTGAGGTCAGGACTCTGTGCAGGACAGTCAAGTCCTCCACCCCAAACTGGCTCCTCCATGTCTTTATGGACCTTGCTTTGTGCACTGGTGCGCAGTCATGTTGGAACAGGAAGGGGCCATCCCCAAACTCTTCCCACAAAGTTGGGAGCATGAAATTGTCCAAAATGTCTTGGTATGCTGACGCCTCAAGCCCAACCCCTAAAATATAACCTCACACCATAATCCCCCCTCCACCAAACTTTACACTTGGCACAATGCAGTCAGGCAAGTACCGTTCTCCCAGCAACCGCCAAACCCAGACACGTCCATCAGATTGCCAGACAAAGAATCGTGATTGGTCACTCCAGAGAACACGTCTCCACGGCTCCAGTCCAGTGGCAGCGTGCTTTACACCACAGCATCCGATGCATTGCATTGCACTCGGTGATGTAAGGCTTGGATGCAGCTTCTCAGCCATGAAAACCCATTCCATGACGCTCTCTATGCACTGTTGTTGTGCTAATCTGAAGGCCACACCAAATTTGGAGGTCTTTAGCCATTGACTCTGCAGACAGTTGGCGACTTCTGCGCACTGTGCGTTTCAGCATGTGCTGACCCCGCCCTGTCATGTGACGTGGCCTACCACTTGGTGGCTGAGTTGCTGTTCCCAGTTGCTTCCACTTTGTTATAATCCCACTAACAGTTGAGCGTGGAATATTTAGTAGCCAGGAAATGTCACGGATGGATTGCACAGGTGACAACCTATCACGGGACCACGCTTGGAGTCACTGAGCTCCTGAGAGCGACCCAATTCTTTCAACAAAGTTTGTAGAAGCAGTCTGCATGCCTAGGGGCCTGATTGTATACACCTGTGGCCATGGAGGGGATTGGAACACCCGAATCACATGATTTAGAGGGGTGTCCCAATACTTTTTACAATATAGTGTATTCCAACTATGGATTGAAATCCACTTCCTTCTGTGCAGAACATGGATCGAGAAGGCTGCAGACTATAGATCGACTATTCCTATCGGGAGAGATGGATTAGAAAGAAAATAGATCATTTATCAAAAAGTGTATGGCCACCATCAGTTCCACTTTAAGAGATCTAACAAAACACTTCCGATTGTATATTTAAAGTAGAAAAAATACCACTTGAAACTGCAAGAAATCTTGTGACCTCCTGGCTTCTGTAAACTGTTAGTGGTTAGCATTGTTTCCAGTTCTTTCTGCGGACTACAGAATACCCCCATGTTATGGAGGATCTGAAAGGGGAATGTATTCTGTAGTCCGAACACAATTTCTATCCTGGTCCGGTCGCCCTGCACATGGACAAAAGAGCACAGGTGACCATTGTTATTAAAGGAAGCTCCTTCACAGAATACTGCACAGGGATTTAAAGATTTTTTTTGTGCTCGGATTTCAGCTTTAAAATGTTTTTGAAAAAATGGAGTAAAGATTTATATAACTTTTTGGCTTCCATGATGCAAAGCTGGCAAAGGAAAAAGATTTCAATAATGCAACTTAGGCATAGACAGAAAAATATATATATATATTTTTTTTAATAGAGTGGGGAAGCGTTTTCATTGTTCTATGAACCTTCCTGTCCTGGTGACAACTGTTCCCCCCCACGTCTTGTACAGGTGTCACAGAAACAGGAAGTGAGGGAAAATCTCCCCAATGAGGACACAGGCAGCAATAAAACCCTGACCTTACTCTTCCCCAATCTATGTAAAAACTAAAATAAACACACTTGGTTGAACAATAGTGGAATGAACGTTAATGGCATCCACCTACCAGAGAGAAATCCGAAGATGTCGCTATTCTCAGCTGTGTCGGACAAGTCGTCATACGCTAGCGTGTTGTCTTTATTACCCGTGCCGTGTTTATAGGAATATGATGCCAGGTATTTCACAAAGAGCTCCTGTTGGGGAAGATTACATGCACACCATGAGAATGACAGCTATTCAATTCGTGTGAGAGAGATGAAAGAGAGATGAGAGAGAGATGAGAGAGAGAGAGATATAGATATATATATATATATATAGACAGATATATATATATATATATATAGAGAGAGGAGAGAGAGAGAGATCTAGAGAGAGAGAGAGAGAGAGAGAGATCTAGAGAGAGAGAGAGAGGGAGAGGGGGGAGATGGAGATGGAGAGAGAGAGAGGGAGAGAGAGAGAGAGAGAGAGAGAGAGAGAGGGGGAGAGGGAGAGAGGGAGAGAGGGAGGGGGAGGGGAGAGGAGGGAGATGGAGATGGAGATGGAGAGAGAGAGAGAGAGAGAGAGAGAGAGAGAGAGAGAGAGAGAGAGAGTTTTGTCTTTTTTTTTAATCCGGCTTAAAAAAAATGATCAAATAGTTTCATCCTTGTCTAGAGGGCTCCCACTGGTGGATCTCCCACATCCTCCTGGTGATCTGACATCAACTGTTTTTTTTCTATTCTGATACCTGCCCCATGTGTGCCATCATATTACCACCTCACTACTAAGGAGATCAGCCCAGCAAGTCACCCCTTCCAAATCAATGACATTTTACCTTGCCTGGGACAAATCTGGGATATTAGTTACCCTATCAATACCCAACTAATCAGGCCATATCTGCCCCCTCACCCCCCAATTGACATCACACTTTTTCTCTGCCTAGGATATATCTGGGGTACTAGTTCCGTCACAAACCAACTGCCTTACTTGCCCCAAAATATCTGCCCCCACTCACTGACATAGTACTGTTTACTCTACCTAGGCAAATCTATGGTGCTAGTTACCCTATCACAAACCAACTAACTTGCCCCATAATATCTGCCCTCACCTCAATGACATCATACTTTTGTACCCTGCCCAGGACACATCTGGGATATTCGGTACCCTGGGAACTCAGCGACTTATCTGCCCTTACTCTATCATAACTCATCCACATAGCTTCCTTATAACATCCGTGACGTCATTACTGTTATTCTTTTACCCAGTCTGGGACAAATCTGTGCAACAGCAACTCTACATCCATCTTTCTCAACCAGGGTGCCTTCAGGCTTCTTCAGGAGTGCAGTGGTGGCTCAGAAGGGGGTGGGATCACAATGCTGTGGACATATCCGCCGCTGCTGCTGCTACCTTTGTTTACATCCCCCCTAACCTACCGTGGATGAGTAGTTTACTGAGCAGCGGTGGTGACACGGGATGACGTCAGTCTTTAGAGGGTGCCTCTCAGCAGCAGCGGTGGGGCAGAAGGGGGGATGGGATCACAATGCTGTGTACACATAGACTGCCACTGCTACCTTTGTTTACACCCCCCTAGCCCACCTGTGGATGAATAATTTACTGAGCAGCGGAGACGACACGAGATGACGTCAGTCTTTAGAGGGTGACTCTCAGCAGCAGCGGTAAGTCAGAAGGGGGGATGGGATCACAATGCTTTGGACATATCCTCTGCTGCTACCTTTGTTTACATTTCCCCCCTCCCCCGCTGTAGATGAATAATTTACTGAGCAGCAGCTGTGACACGGATGACGTCAGTCTTTACAGGGTGACTTTCAGCAGCAGTGGTGGGGCAGAAGGGGGTGGGATCACAATGCTGTTGACATATCTGTTCTTGCTACCTTTCTTTACATTTCCCCCCCTACGCTGTGGATGAGTCATTTACTGAGCAGCAGCAATGACACGGGATGACGTCAGTCTTTAGGGGGCGACACTAAGCAGCAGTGGTGGGGCAGAAGGGGGTGGGATCACAATGCTGTGGGCATATCAGCTTCCACTACCTTTCTTTAGAGCCCCCCCTCCCCTACCGTTGATGAGTCATTTACTAAGAAGCGGCGGTGACACGGGATGACGTCAGTCTTTAGGGGGCGACACTAAGTCTTTAGAGGGTGGCTCTCAGTGGTGTGAGGCAGAAGGGGGTGGGATCACAATGCTGCAGAAATATCGGCTGCTGCTACCTTTGTTTACATTCCCCCCTAACCCACAGTTGATGAGTCATTTACTAAGCAGCGCCGTGGGGGATGACGTCAGTCTTTAGATGACGACACTAGTCTTTAGAGGGTGGCTCTCAGCAGCAGTAGTGAGGCAGAAGAGGGTGGGATCACAATGCTGTGGACATATCGCTGCTGCTACCTTTGTTTACATTCCCCCCTAACCCACAGTGGATGAGTCATTTACTGAGCAGCGGCGGTGACACGGGATGACGTCAGTCTTTAGAGGGTGACTCTTAGCAGCAGAGGTGGGTCAGAAAGGGGTGGGATCACAATGCATTGGACATATCCTCTGCTGCTGCTACCTTTGTTTACATTCCCCCTCCCCCGCTGTAGATGAGTCATTTACTGAGCAGCAGTGGTGACACGGGATGACGTCAGTCTTTAAAGGGTGACTTTCAGCAGCAATGGTGGGGCAGAAGGGGGTGGGATCACAATGCTGTAGACATATCCGCCACTGCTGCTACCTTTGTTTACATCCCCCCAAACCTACTGTGGATGAGTCATTTACTGAGCAGCGGAGATGACACGGGATGACGTCAGTCTTCAGGAGCTGACACTAAGCAGCAGTGGTGGGGCAGAAGGGGGTGGGATCACAATGCTGTTGACATATCTGCTGCTGCTACCTTTGTTTACATCCCCCCAACCTACTGTGGATGAGTCATTTACTGAGCAGCGGCGATGACACGGGATGACGTCAGTCTTTAGGGGGCGACACTAAGCAGCAGTGGTGGGGCAGAAGGGGGTGGGGTCACAATGCTGCGGGCATATCCGCTGCCATTACCTTTGTTTACATCCCCCTCCCCCGCCGTTGATGAGTCATTTACTAAGCAGCGCCGGTGACACGGGATGACGTCAGTCTTTAGGGGGCGACACTAAGCTGTGGGGGCAGAAGGATCTTGCTGCTGCCTAGTGACACATTCATTGCCATCACATTATCCAACCCATATAGGGGGTCACCAGAGATATCCCCCCGGGGTACCTGTCTTGTAATAAATTACATTGTTTGCCCCATCCCCAGGATAACCCCCCCCCCCCACTCCACACACCCCGAAAAGTCATCCCCACCCCCTACAGGTGACCCTCCCCCCAAGGGGTACCGTGGCCTTGGTGGTGAGGAGGAGGGCATCCGGGTTGATGCTGGACACATCGGGCGAGCTCTTCATAATGACCCGGATCCGGGACTGAGGTAGAACCACCAGCCGGCTCTCGGCCATCCGGCTCTCGGCCATCCTCCTCTCCTCTTCTGTCCGCGAACAATAAAGCTCTCCGGGTTCAAAACAACACAGAGCAGCGTGCTGCCCGCAAGGACTACATCTCCCGGCGTCCCCCACGGCGGGGCTCAGACACCGGGGAGGTCCGGGTGACGGGCAGCGGAAGAGCAATGTCAGATCTAGAACTCCAAGGGGGGAAATCTGACCACAAGGAGGGGTAACAAGGGCCGGCTGTGGCCCCTGACCAGTCCTCAATGGAGGAGAGCCCACAGAGGCATGATGGGAGTTGTAGTTCTGGGCTGTGGAGATGATCAGCCGGCTGCACAATGAAAGGACGCAATGCAACCACACATCACTGGGGGGGCGGGGCGAGAGAGGGATAAGCAGACCCTACATAGTGCAATCTGATTGGACAATAGTTTGGGGCTCATTCACATCTACAGAACACATGAAAAAAACGCACATTGTGCCTATGGCCTCACACTATGTCAAATATATCTATCTATCTATCTATACACACACTGTGTGTGTATATATCATTTTTTTTTTTAAGCAGAGACCCTAGAGAATAAAATGTTGCATGTTTTTATGTCACGCATAATTTGTGCAGCAATTTTTCAAACGCCCTTTTTTTGGAAACAATACACTTTGCTGAATTTTAATGCAAAAAAACCCAACAAACCCACAATAGATAACCCAATTGTTCTGTAAATTATAAAAGATGGAAACCTCCCAACTCTGAGATGGGGGCGGGGGATACCTATTAGCAAAAGTATGTAGGCATAGGACACCCCCCCGCCACCATGCCCCCTTAAAGGAGAATAAGTCCTCATGCACACGGGACGTTTTTTACAGCGGCTGTTTTTTACTTTTGGTGTTTCTCTTCTACAGCCAATAAACCCCCCAGCATGTTATCCTACGTGTCCATCCCCGGCGTGTTCTCCTACGTGTCCATCCCTGGCGTGTTCTCCTACGTGTCCATCCCCGGCGTGTTCTCCTACGTGTCCATCCCCGGCGTGTTCTCCTACGTGTCCATCCCCGGCGTGTTCTCCTACGTGTCCATCCCCGGCGTGTTCTCCTACGTGTCCATCCCCGGCGTGTCCATCCCCGGGGTGTTCTCCTACGTGTCCATCCCCGGCGTGTTCTCCTACGTGTCCATCCCCGGCGTGTTCTCCTACGTGTCCATCCCCGGCGTGTTCTCCTACGTGTCCATCCCCGGCGTGTCCATCCCCGGGGTGTTCTCCTACGTGTCCATCCCCGGCGTGTTATCCTACGTGTCCATCCCCGGCGTGTTATCCTACGTGTCCATCCCCGGCGTGTTCTCCTACGTGTCCATCCCCGGCGTGTTATCCTACGTGTCCATCCCCGGCGTGTTATCCTACGTGTCCATCCCCGGCGTGTTCTCCTACGTGTCCATCCCCGGCATGTAATCCTACGTGTCCATCCCCGGCATGTTATCCTATGTGTCCATGCACATTTAGACTGTAATCAACATTTTTTGGCAGGGGCGTTTTTTGACTGGAAAAAAACCCAGGACTAGTGGGTTTCTAGAGGAGTTTTGTAGCTGTAAAAATGCTCTAAGTCCTCATGCACACCGGACATTTTTACAGCAGCTGTTTTTGGCTTTTGGCGTTTTTTTCTACAGCCAGTAAACTCCCCCAGCATGTTATCCTATGAAAAACGCTGAAAAACGTGGCAAAATGCTCTAAACCGGCGTTTTTTTTTGTTTTTTTTACCAAAAAAATGCTAATGGGTATCACAGTGGCTAAATGGTTAGCACTTCCGCCTGGCAGTACTAGGGTCATTGGTTCAAATCCTAACCACGGCACCACCTGACTGGAGTTTGCATGTTCTCCTGTGCCTGCGTGGGTTTCCTCCGGGTACTCCGGTTTCCTCCTACTCTCCAAAGACATGCTGGTAGGTTCATTGGCTCCTGTCTAAATTGGCCCTAGTATTTGTATGTAAGTTAGGGACCTTAGATTGTACACCCCTTGAGGGTTAGGGACTGATGTGAATGTACAATATATATGTAAAGTGCTGTGTAAATTGACAGCGCTATATAAGTACCTGAAATAAATAAAATAAAAAACACAAACGCGGAAAAACAACGCTAATGCAAAAACACTAAAAAAAAAGCTGAAAAACCTCATATTTTTAATGGGAGATTATGTTAGCAGCGTTATCAAAACACGTGCGTGGAGCCTGACATACATTGGTCCGCAGTGTTTTATGGCACCAGGGGTTTCAAGAAGTTTGTTGTAAGTCAAGCATCTGTGAAGATACCAATTTATGGACACTTATAAGAAGACATTTATGTTGGTTTAAATCGGAAGTGAAGCTTTGCACTTGCATGATATTTTATGTTGTATAACACATTTTGTATGGGGGTGTGAATAGTGTGAGAGCGATTCACAACTTTTTTTTATTTGATTTTGATTTAATAGTTAGGGTTCATGTACACGGGGCGTTTGGAAAACTCTTCTGAACGATGGAAACTGACTGCTGGAAAACGCAGGTTAAAAAAACGTCAGTTTAGCCGCGTGTGCATACCGCGTTTATGCGCGTTTGGGTTTAGAAGCGTTTTAAAAAGATAACCTCAGGAGACCTTCCCACATGCCCAAAAAACAGTAAATAATTAACTATTTCAGACATTTTGAGAGAAATAAAAAGAGCAGAAGCAGAGAGAGCAGTATGTGTGGAGATGACCTGTCTTTTCTGGTTGTATTCACTATGGATCCCATCATGAGCATAATGCGGCGCGTTCTACCATTGTTTCCTTCACGCAAAACCTGGAACTGACTGCGCTGGTGTGCTAAGTCCATTTGAATACATGGAAAAGCTTTTCATGCATTTCTGATGATGAAAAAAGGCTCTGGACAGCATCTGGACATGGAACAGTTATAAAACGCTTCTAAACGCAAACGCTTATAAATGCGGTTAACCACGTGTACAAGCATTTGGCGTTTGAAACGCCGGTAAAATCTACTCCTGAATGCAAGTTTGGTGCGTTCAAAAATTCAAACTAAACTGCCTCTAAACGACGATGTGTACATGGACACACAGGAGAACATTAGGGAGAGTTCAGGGGCTGCTGAAAGAAACAGGGAACAGCTCCTGAACGTCAGTTTAGGAGCTGCAGTGTACATGAGCCTTTACATAGTTACATAGTTAGTCTGGCTGAAAAAAAAGACAAAAGTCCATCCAGTTCAACCATAGAAAAAAAAAAAAAGTTATAATCCTATACCCACAGTTGATCCAGAGGAAGGAAAAAAAAACCCAGCAAAGCATGATGCAATTTGCTCCTGCAGGGAAAAAAATCCTTCCTGATCCCCCGAGAGGCAATCAGATATTCCCTGGATCAACTTTACCTATAAATGTTATATCCAGTTATATTCTGTGTATCCAAGAAACAATCCAGGACTTTTTTAACTTCCCTGGCGGTATTCCCGAGTGTAGCTCGGGGTAAAGTTTCAGCACCACAAGCGGTAACCCCCCCGAGCTACACTCGGGAATACACTGCAGCGTTGCTCCGGGATCCCTTCTGCACTTACCTTGTCCTGCGCTCCCACGATGTCCCCCCTGCAGTGTCCCCGGCAATGTCCTCCGGCCGATGCCGGCATCTGTCTTCCGGGTTCCGTTCCCTGCGACGTCGGGACGTACGGGGGACGGAACTGGCGGGAAATGTAAAAATTTTAAAAGTGACATTCACTAAATACACTAAAATCACATAGTATTCTATTCCTGTATCAAACCATTTCACATACATTTTGTCCCGAGTGCTTTGTCCGGCGCCCTGCCTGCATTTTTACTGTTCTTTCTGCCTGGAAACTGAGAAACGTCCATGGCGTCCAAAAAGCGTCCCTTTAGGTCAAAAGCGGCTTTAGACCGGCTAGAGAACAGTGATAGTAAATCAGAACCACTTGCAGAATTGAGTGATAATGATCTGTAGGGGAAATTCCTCATCAGACACTGAAAACGATTTTGCGACTTTGCTCAGTGACGTGCGAACTTGGCACTATATTTCAAATTTCAGTGTTTTTGGTTTGATTATATTATTGAATTAAATTTATTATATTATTATTATTTTTTATGATTATTTATTAAATTATAATTTATGATTTCATATTTCAAATTTTATCATACCCGGAATGTTTACTAGACTCTTGTTCGGACAGATTTCAGTGAGTTATTCCTAAAAATTACAGGCCTACAATAAAAAAAATACATATTTCCATGCAAAAAAATGTACCGCTTTGAGCACAGAAATACTGACATAATCAGACTGCTAGGGAGGTTAAAACAATCCATTGAACTGGCCACAACCAACTCTTGAGGGAGTCTATTCCACATTCTCACAGCTCTCACTGTGAAGAAACCTTTCCGTGTTTGGAGATTAAATCTCTTTTCCTCCAGACGTAAAGAGTGCACAACTTTGTTTTTATTTTGATTTGATTTATTAGTTTATTATTGATATTTTTGAAGTTATTTTGTTATCATGGATCTGGCATAGCAGCTCACAAGATTTTGCATTTATTTGAAATAAAAAGTTTTGGCTTTAGTTCTACTTTAAAAACTTTTTTCTTCCTACAGGAGCTTACAGCATAAAAAACGCAGTGAAAAGTAAAGTTTTTGCATAAGCATTAATGCACATTAACAGTGCTGATGTGCATTCCTGTGTCTGGCATTAATGCATTCTATTAGCAGGAGTTCTAGCCATTTGAATCCCTTTCCTCCCTCTCCTCCCTCTTCCGCCCCCAGTGATGTGTGGCCACATTGTATGGTCTGTGTGATCTCCTCTGTAGCCCAGAACTACAACTCCCATCATCCCTCCCTTCTACTCAGCAACACCCACCATACCAGTCCCAAGTCTGCAGCTGGGAGCGCAGAGCCCAGGAAACATGCAGTCAGATGGTGGAATGTTTCACAGCAGAATGCACATAAAGACACTGCACAAGCAAGTAGATGCAGATCAAAAAAGGCAAGCCAAAAACACACAAACACATGTAAAATGCCTGCAGAACCACACACTGAACACAGGGATTACAGCATATACAAGCCCTAAGGCTAGGTTCACAGCTATGTAGGTTGCATTTGAGCCGTTTCTGCATTGCGTTTTTCATTTTTGCACTTGCGTTTTTATGCATTTTTGATGCAATTTGCATTTTGTTTCTTTTTTTTGCTGCTAGGCATATTTAAAACGCAGCAAAAATGCAATACATGCCTTTCTGCATCGTTTCCATTAAAGTTTATAGAACCAAAAACGCAACTGTTTGCGTTCAAAAAAGTCCCTGACCCTTTCCACAAAACGCACCGGGTGAAAACGCAGAGATGTGAACCTGCCCCATAGGAAATCATGTTACATGGACTGTACTGTGTTTCTGCAAAACACAAAATACTGCATATAACGATTAAGTGTGAACCTGGGGTCAGGCTGCATTCACATTTAGTGTTTGCTAGATCAGGACCAGAGAGGACCAGTTCACACTGGAATGTGTGAGTTCCCATGCAATCCTGCACGTTCCTGTGCGGTGCAATTTTGACAGCCCATTCATTTGAATGGGCTGCATATTGCAGTGGAATGCAGACAAAAATAGTGCAAGAGCTACATTTTCAAAATGAACAGCACCAAATTCAAAATGCACTGTACCGAATTACAAAATGTACTACACCACATTCAAAATGTACTGTACCGAATTCAAAATGTACTGCACCGAATTACAAATTTGTACTGAATCGAATTACAAAATGCACTGCACCGAATTACAAAATGTACTGTACCGAATTCAAAATGTACTGCACCGAATTACAAATGCACTGCACCGAATTACAAAATGCACTGCACCGAATTACAAAATGCACTGAACCGAATTACAAAATGTACTGAACCGAATTACAAAATGTACTGAACCGAATTACAAAATGTACTGCACCACATTCAAAATGTACTGAACCGAATTACAAAATGTACTGCACCACATTCAAAATGTACTGAACCGAATTACAAAATGTACTGCACCACATTCAAAATGTACTGAACCAAATTACAAAATGTACTGCACCACATTCAAAATCTACTGAACCGAATTACAAAATGTACTGAACCGAATTACAAAATGTACTGCACCGAATTCAAAATTTACTGCACCGAATTACAAAATGGACTGCACCACATTCAAAATGTACTGAACCAAATTACAAAATGTACTGCACCGAATTACAAAATGTACTGCACCACATTCAAAATGTACTGCACTGAATTACAAAATGTACTGCACCACATTCAAAATGTACTGAACCGAATTACAAAATGTACTGCACCACATTCTAAATATACTACAATGAATCAGATTTGGTGCCTGCAAACACGCTGCATTTGAAAAAGAGAGACGTATGGAAAGAAAGAAAGAAAGAAACAAAGAAAGAAAGAAACAAATAAACAAAGAAAGAAAGATGGAAAGGAGGGAAACAAAGAAGGAGGGAAAGAAAGAGAGAATGGAAAGGAAGGGAAAAAAAACTGAGAGATGCCGGAGAGAGAAAGAAAGTGAGAGAAAATGAGAGAAACAGGAGAAAGAAAGAGGGAAAAAAACAGAAGACAGAGAGAGAAAAACAAAGAAAGAGAGAAAGAAAAAAATTGAGAGACACAGGAGACAGAGAGAAAGAAAGAAAGAAAGAAG